GGAGCATGGGAATCGACCCTCAACGGCAACTGACATTTGTCACGTGGAAAAAAGTGCGGGCAATAGTGCTCGAAAATGGTCGTTTCGAGCTTATTGAACAGAGTAATATTTCTGAAGGCTCTGTACATACAATTTTGATAGAATATGTAGACACGCATCGAGAATCAGGTACACTTGCCCCATGATTGTTGTCCGTTGAACGAAAATCCAACCAAATGTCAATTTCCCTTTAGCTCCTTGAACGTTCTAACTATGATCCTACATTTTTGGATTGGATAATTTTCGGTGACAATACTTTAGTGTACAGCTACGATACACGTATGGAGACGAAACTCCAATCGTCCTTGTGGGTTGAAAATTGTAGTGCAAGACCGAAAAAAGAGAGACGAGTTCGGTCAAACATAAAAATCGCAAAACACCCTTGAGGTTACCTTACTTCAAGCCACATACCAACGAAGCTAATTAGGATTTTTCAAATTTGTGAACGTAGCGTTCTTAAAATATATTTTCACCTATCAGAAAAGCTCAAGAAAACGTAATTTGGACGCATTGTGGGCTAGTTATGACCAAACTCCGGTTTCTAATCTAACAGACCTCGTACTATGCAATTAATGAGAATATTCAGGACTGAATCTTAGTCTGACCTACTACTAAGTGATTTAATTGTTTCCCTCCTTGATAAATGTATTAAAATATTAATGAAAACTTGACATATTTGTATTAGCCTTTTTGTGCAGAAACAAACGAACAAATAAATAAAATAAAATAAAAATAAAAATTAAATAACGGAACTGTATACGTTCGAACTGTAAAACGTTCACCACTCAATTAAAACTCCAAGTAAATTCTCTTCTATCCTCTGTTGTGTTGCTTACATACTCCTGGAAGCACCACTACTTACAAAACGAACGGAAACAAACAGAATATGGGAATAGAGCAAGAAGGAGGACATATGCAATAGTAACGGCGCAGAGATACAACTATTCGTGCTTGATGGATGTCCGTGTTGTATCTGCAAAATTGAAGGAGCGATGGCACGAGGCGTGAACTCGCAATGCTCCAAGCTCCACTCTGTGCTGATTAGGAGGAGACATTTAGATTCGAGAGAAAAGTTAATACTTAAAAATTTCTCCATTTCCATTCAAGTTCTTGATAATGCGTGTAAATTCAAAATTTAAAATTAGCCTAAAAAAGTACTAACTTTTTTCCACTAAAAACAATCATTTCAGAATTTAGAAACGATTTCATTTATTGAGTTATTGAAATTGCAATCAATAGTCCCTCAATTAATCTCAATTAAGATTGACCGAGACTGAATTAGCTTTGGATAATTTGTTTTAGGGATCCAGTTGTGGTTGAACTTGTGTGTGGCATACCTGCATAAGTATCGATTGGGCCAATGACCTCGGTCCCTCAAAAACTTTAAACTTTAGACCGAAAAACGACGGTAAATCTTGCTTGTGAGTCTGAGGATAGATTTTCAGAGAACGTACCGAAGACTTGTAAAATTAGGAGAAATACAAACAGGATTCGTCAATAAAAAAAGTAAATTCATGTTTTATTCAGGTATTCATTATTGCACAAAACTTACTGTATTTGCATTTGACAAATCTTGTTTCAATTTCTTGACATTATGCTATTTTTTATTGTGAATAATTTTTATTATGAGTTCCTCTTAAATTCATGTTCAATTCAAGAACAACTATTCGTAAAGTATGAGAATTTAAAAATCCTCGCGAGGTAGTGAGATGGACGTCTTGAGAGTGTTCAAAATCAGCTCCTGCAGAGACAGACGCAAAGCCAATCTCTCATATTCGTATGGACTTTAGTAGCTTGGACTTTTAGCGGGTAACTCTTTAATTACATATCACTGTTTCACGGTTTTATTGTTAGCCAACACATGATTTCATCGTATTTGCACAATGCTACAAAAATGAGTCTAATTAAATTCTTACTTGCAAGAGGAATTACTCGAATTTAGCTATTCATGATTTGTTTATTTCTTAACAACGTATTTTTGGGTTTTTTAAAAATTGAATATTTCCTCCGTAAAATTATTTTGCAATTTTTTATTCGTTTTTTCTTTTTTTAATAGCTGATTCCCTAAAATTCAAAATTTTGAAAAACAATTGGTACCCTATGTTTTTAATGCAAGCTACAAAATAGATTTATGTCCCCCAGAATCTGAGATTCAGAATTAATTCATGCCATAGCTGGTTAATGACAAAATTGTGATGAGATGCAAAACAATAAAATTTATACGGAATTTTGACATTAATTTTCATTCTATTGTTTTGGTTTGAACCATCGAAAAGCGATACATCGAAATGGGATACATCGAATAACGCAAGAGAATGACCTGGTCACTAATTCAGTCTATAGAAAGGTGTAAGTGCGAAAAGTTCGAGAAGAGAATTAGAGACATTCTGTGTATACTGCCGTATGAACATTCGAGAGTTGCCAAATTTCCTCTCAGAAAATAGTTATGTTTATGTTTATTGTTGTTGTTGTTGTTGTTGTTGTTGTTGTAGGTTGATTGGCCTAATTCCGCTTTGCAGATAAACAGCCACTTACAAAAGTTCGGGATCACACACTAGATGATCATTTCCCTAGAGAATAAACAAAGTTTAATGTCTTGGTCAATGGGTGGTTCGATAATAATCTACTAAAATTTTGTTCCGGGATGGATGATCTTCGAAAATAATTGATCACGTCCCTTTGAGGTTAAGCATTGCCATCACTGTCCAGATCATTTGACGGTTAGTGGAGACCGCAGATATGCCCAGGAGGAAAAGACGGTTGAAGGAAGGATGAAGAGCGCAGAAGTCGGGAAGAGAAGCAGGGTTGCAAAAATAGGAAGACGAAGAACTGAAATTAGTGAAAGGAAAAAGTAAAGGATTTAGGCCTATCAAAAATGGCTCCACCACTATGAGCCTGCAGCGAAGCGACCGCCTCCGACAGAGGTTCGCCCCAGACTCTCGATGTTTATTAAAAGTTATGAATATATTTTCTTGAAATTTATAGGAACTTTAGGTGAAATTGCGAACGAAATTAGCTGAAAAATTGGAGGGAAAATATTTACAAATTTCCCCAAAAATTCGCGATTTACCAAAGTCAATTTGACAACGCTTGAAGATTCATACGGCGTTTTTCCTTAGCACGGCAGTATAGTTGTGAGAATGTCAATACGTACTCGTGTGAAAAGAGATGTTATGGATGTTAGTTATATCACTGTTTAACGGTGTGCCTCTACGGAAATGCAGTCGTCCCCGTATTTGAAACGGTCCGTTTACTAAATTAGAGCAAACAATATTTGAGACACGTCTCACCGTCGGGTCCATTTTAGCCTCCTTGCTTTTGGATCGGGATGTTGTAAAAATGGGCAGTTAAAAGATGTTCCCAAAAAACAAAAAAAAATCAAACGCTTCGACTTCAGCAGAGTTTATTTTTTTTTAGACTCTTCTATGGGACTGAACATGGAAAACTTTCACAAAGTAATATTTCACCAATTGGTTGAGGCCAAACTTTCTCTCCTCCTCGCTCTACTTTTTTTCTACCTTATTTTTGTGTTTCTCTTCTTTCAAAAATATGATTTTTTTTCTCAATCCTGCTTATCTGATCAAGATGATAAAAAAGTAAAAGACTACAATGAATACTGTATAAGTCGCAATGCACGGAATATATCAAAATTCTGTCATTTTCAAGTCAGTTTTTAAGTATATTTCTTCCAGCTTTATTCAAAGAAATTATTTACGAACGGTATAGAAACGTGAGTGGCAGATGGTAGGTTGCCCAGAAAGGTATTTGATTGGGTTCCTCCCGGAAGAAGGTGGCGGGAGGGAGTGAAGGGGGAGATCGGACGGTGTGACCTGCCCGATATTTTGTGGGAGGATCGATTCCGATGGCGATTTGGAGTCGCAGAGCGCTCTGGTGCGCTGAGGTAGCGGCTTGATATGTATGTATTTACGATCGAAGGATATTTTCAGACTGTGTCCTGAACGGTCAAATTCAACGCTGAAAGCCACGTTTGAAAGAAAGAAAATGAAAATGTCATATATTATTGTAATGGTAAAGCATATTAACAATGTTTGGGCTTGAACAAAAATACGGTTTGCTCTACTTTGACATACTGGATAAAAACGAGAAATTCAAAACTGTGCGTGGAATTCAAAATTCAAAAGCCGCTTTCACAGTGCTTGCTCTACAACGCGTAATAATTGTCTATCCTCAGAGGGTTTGAATCCCCTCGTTTCTTGTAAAACTTCATATCATCACTTTTGTACTTTTTCTACCTTTCTCATTATTCCCAGAAGTAAATGAATCTAACTTTGCGATGTATAAGCTAATCACAAAGTTGCACGATATACCATTGTATTTCTTTTTTTTAGCAGCCCGCAAGAGAGAAATGAAGTACACTGAAAAAAAATTATCGGCGATTTTACCAAGGTCCGTTGGTACCTTTACCATCTCACTTTTTTTACCAATTATTGGTAATTTTACCAAGAAAGACTGGTAAGCTTATCTATAAACCGGTATTTTTACTGTTTTTTTCAGGTAAGAATACCACTTTTACTGGTAATCAATTCCCGGTAACTTTGCCATTTTATATCGGTAATTCTACCCTTAGTCGATAAAAAATATTGGCGTTTTTACCGAAGTCCAGTAAAATTACCGAGAAAGTTCAATAATTTTACCGAGATTTCTCGGTAAAATTACCAATTCCATAAATGGTAATTTTACCAAGAAAAAACCGGGATCAAATATAACCCTGAATTCTTGGTAATTTTACCCTTTTCTTAGTAAATACACCGAGATTTTTTTTCAGCGCAGCCCGCAAGAGAGTAATGAAGTAAATTTTCTATTCTATTTCTCTATTCGTGGTCAATCACAATGTCACAACTGAGAAAATGTCCCACATTTTCTGCACGATATAGAAACTGTTCTATCAGTCGTGAGGACTATAACTAAAATTGATAACTCGGTGGGCTCCGGCCTTCTGCGGACTGATTTTGGTCTGCAAGTGCGTCCTCTCATAATCTCGGACGACAGTTCAGTTTCTCACCTGAAATTTGAACATCACTTTGGTTCGGGATCTCTCTCTTCCTTTTTGGAGGTATGTTATAACGCAATATTCTTCCACTCATGATAAATACAGAGTGTCCCAATATTACATGACCAGACTTACAGCCAGACTAAAAGAGTGTGTTTTATGGGCCAAAATACTAAACAGATTTGTATCTACTGTTTTCAAAAATTACTTCCGTTTACTTGGATCGGTTCGATTTTGCCTTAAAAGTTCGGATTTCCTCCGAAAATCTAATCATTCAGGGAGAAATATAATTTTCCGGAAAAGTGTGCGTTGTATGGGCGAATTAGTTCCAATTTTGGATCCAGCAGACAAATATACACATGATATCGTGTATCTTACAATTTGTTAAAACATCTATTTATTCTGGTCAACACATTTTTTCGGATCATGAAGGGCGAGTCTGTTCTCTCCGAGTGTCTGATTGGGCTATTTCCACACACATTTTTCCGCTGAGGCCAAAATTGACCGTAGTTTTCCAGTATTTACTAGCTTGCGAAAAAGCGATTTTTTTAAGAGAGTAGACTCTTTTTAGAGAAATCGACGGTGTAAGTCGGCAATCACATTACTCGGTTTCGCAGACTTCCTGTCTTAGTTTAACAGCAATTCTTTAAAACTGCCGTGATTTTTCTTCTCTGTGCGAAGAAAATTTTGCAAAAGCTTCAAGGAATGATGACAATTTGTTCTCCTTTAAAAAAATAACATAGAGGCAGAGATATTCAGACACCGCAAGTGAGATATGTGATTGCGGACTTTCGCCGTCGAAACGCTTCTTTTTAGCCCAGTAAACTTTTCCGACATTAGAAGGGCGAAGAATCTAAATTTATTTTTGTGTTCTGCAACTAGAAGTGGGTAGTAATAGCTTCATTTAACACCTGTTAAACAAATTAGTTCACTACCCGATGCAAAACAATAGGAAAGCTGTTGATCGGAAAATCTTCTCATTAAGAGCGGAGAGGAGAGAATTCGTAGGCATGGAATAAATTCTTAATATGGTTTTTTGTCTACTGAAACCGAAAATGAAATTTCGTTATCTAGAATGTGCAGATTTTGCAAGCTATTGAATTTCCTACGAAAAAGCTAAACTTTTGGGGAAAATGCGGATATTTCCTAAAAACATCGAACTAATTTACAAAAGTGGAGGCCATGTTTGAAATTAGCATTAAAAGTAAGCCCTTGACGAGTCATTAAGTTTATTGTAAACCGATCCATTTGGACTAGTAATGTTAATACCAAACGTTACTCCGGCTGTAATAGAACTTAGTTAATCAATAAATTCAAAATAATGAATTACCTGATTTTGGTATTTTTTAAATCGAACATGAATAAGTTTTCTTGCAAGTTGACTATTTTCTCCGCGATCATTTATTCCATTTGTTTTCAATCAAACCCAAGAAATTCAATTTTATGGTTTCGGGGCCTCCATTCTCCACCCTTCCGTGAGGTCAATTTGGCGGCCATTCAATCGCCAATTCCCGACCTCCTCCGATTTAAAATAACAGAGTAAAAACCTGAAACTGGTAACAGTGGCGTAACGGACCTCCGCTGGGCCCCCCTGCAAAATTTTTTCTGGGGCCCCCCATGTCGATAAAATTCAAAAATCATCCCCCTCCCACCCCTCTACTTCCCTCACCCCTTCCCGTTTTATGGCCCGAGACATTTTAAATCACGGACTTGGACTTGGAATGCCCCTCCCCTCACCGTCCCGGATCCCGTACCCGATTAAATGGGGCCCCTAAAGGATGAAGGATCTAAAGGGTGGCGAGGGCCCAGCCCAGGCCCAAGAATCTACAGAAGGGCCCATGCAGGCCCAAGAATCGAAGGACCCCCAAGGGCCTTGTGGGCCCTTTAGATTCATGGGTCACCCAAAGCCCGAAATACCTACGAAAAGTGACAAAAAAGAGAAAATGTTTAGTAATCACTGAGTGGACATTGGAAGGCAGGAGCCCTCCAGCAAAAAAAAGTTAGGAACAGTCCAAAAGAAGTAGGAATAACCCTGAGCTAACAATAAAAATCAGCGGAAAAAGCCCCATCTTGGTAAGTAAAGGCCCAAAGTTTGAAACCAAAGCTAAGCATCAAAGAGAGAGAGAAAAAAATTCCGGCGGCCAAGGGCCCCCTAGGCGCTTGGGCCCCTCTGCATAGCAGGGTCTGCGGGGGCGCCCGTTACGCCACTGACTGGTAATCTGGGACATCATGTGTAAACATTGCAATGCTGTACCCCAACTAGTTGTTAAAACGCTGTTTTAACGACAGACTCTATCGAACAATAACATCAACAGCTTGTATTGAGCCTCAGAAAATGGAAACGGATCAACTATTTTTTGTTTTTATTTTTAATATTACAGTTTAATGGTAATAGTGTAAAATTGAAAATAAGTATTGCCAACACAGGCTTTTTAACTCAATTCAAAATTTTCAGGGGAAGATTGTTTTCATCTTAAGGTTTCGTTTAGAATACGTTTGGGTGTCATCCCTCGTGTTCCAAAAAGAGGCACAAAAAATAGTGTCATTGACATCACTGAAAAACGTATGACAATCTTAACTATATGTTCCAAGCTGATTTTGGGGCCAGTCAGAAGAGTAGTTCAGTCAGCTGAAAATCTGGTTGAATTGACCGTATATCTCTGCCTGCGGACCGATTATTGAAACTGATAGATAAAGCGATAGACAAAGACGACAAAATGGATTTGGAGGGATCCTATTGGTGGAAACGGGTTGTTACAATGGACAAAGGAGGTAGGTAATCGACTAAGTAACGGCAACCCACGAGAAACCCGACAGTTAGTCTATCATTTTCCCTTTTAGTCGATGAGAACCACCCATTTCAACCAATAGAATTGCTTTATACCCCCTATGTCATCTTTGTCTATCGCTTTGTCTATCAGTTTCAATAATCGCCCTGCTGGTGCTTTTACACTACTTCTTGCTGGCGCTAAAATCAGCTTATTCAGCAAGTTCAGATTGGTATATTTTTTTCTGTGACTCTTTTTCTGGACGAATTATTAATTTTTGAGAACAATTATGAATATCATTTCGAGATTTTCGGATACGTTAGATTAAACTGCAATGACATGATTAGATTAAATTGCACTAAAATTCGCTGTAGCATGCAAGGCATTCGTAAATATACCTTATAAAAAAAAATCGAATGCTGTTGCGGCGATTTTCCTTAGCACGGTAGCGTGGGCATATGTTTGTCTATATTTCTCTTCAATTTAATAGCTAACGTTATATTCATTTTGTTCTTTCAGGAAACCATAGACTTATGCTACTGTGCTCCGTTGAATATACCGTATGGTGCTCCGGAAGTGTAGGATGTTGGTATAGAGGAAATTAATGTCAGATGTGTGGTGCGATTCCCTGTGTGAAACGAGTGGGAATTTGTTAAAAATAACGCCATCCCAGAAAAGAAATCGACAGAAATTGTGATTCCGTCGAGGCCGAACTGAATATTGTACGCGATTTTTGGCTCGAACACCTCGATCATGTCCGGCCTCAAAGTCTTGTTGTTGCTGGCGTCAGTCAACCGGATGTTGGCGGCCGAGATCGGGTTGCAAGAATACGGGAGAGAGTTCGATAAATTATTACAAATGGAACGTGAGCTATCTGAATTTGGTCCGGGTCCGCATGTAGCTCAAGCATATGCGAGAGAGTTCGGCGAAATACTGCGGAAGAAACGTCAAGTGAACGACATCGCTGCGCCGATCCGGATCTCAACCACTGGTGACCACGCATGGATGGCCCCAGGCCCGAACGATCAGCGGGGCCCATGCCCGGCTCTGAACGCTCTGGCGAACCACGGCTACCTCCCGCGGGACGGCGTCTGCACCGCTGGCCAACTGGCATCAGCATGCTATGGAGTCCTGGCACTTGGTATAGACTTGTCAATGGTGCTCGCTGTTCAAGCCTTGGTGATTGCCTCCCGGTACGACCTGAAAATAAGCATCGGACTCCCAACCGAGAACAGTCCCTCTTGCTCAGGGCTGACCGCGTCTCACAACAAGTTCGAGACCGATGCCTCACCGACCCGGACTGATCTTTACTTGAGCGGTAACCCTGGTCCCCTCAACCTAACTCTCCTCGGACAAATGATTGAGTTTAAGAACGCCAGTGAGTCGTGTTTAACCTATGCAGATTTAATAGAGTTCCGATACCAAAGACTCACGGATTGCATCGCCACGAACCCCTGGTTCTTCTTCTCTCTTCCAGCTGCTATCGCTGCAGCCGGCACTTACTCTTTCCAACCCAGGTTGTTCGCAAATGCTACGAGTGAATATCCCGAAGGCGGGTGCGTGGATGTGGAAACTCTCAAGGCATTCTACGGCGTTTCTGAGGATGGGGTCTACACGGGGGAACGCATCCCTGATAACTGGTATAGACGTCCCTACGGCAGAGAGTACACTTTGCCTAAGTACGCGATGGATTACTCCGCCGCAAGCATGAAGTACCCCGCCTTCCTTTCGACTGGAGGCAACAATGGCACGGTTAATTCCTTTGTCGGCCTAGATTTTGCAGACCCGATCAACGGAGTCTACAATGCCAAGAGTCTTGCCGATAGTAAGACCTTCTCCTGTTACCTGTATCAGCTTCTACAGTCATTATCCTTCAGTCTTGTGGCAAACGTCGCCAACGAAGTCCTTGCGTTTCTCAAACCCTTACAGGCCTTGCTCGATAAGATAGTTGGAGACAATCTGTCGAAACTTGGTTGCCCGGAACTGAATCCGTCGTCATCGACATCGGTTCCGGGTTACCCCATGCAAGAGAATGGATCCTGTCCGTTGCTCAACAAGACTATTTACAACTGAAATCACGACCAGGAATCGAATGGACCACCAGTGAAGGCACAAAGTTAAGCATTCTGATACATGTTTCCTGATCAGAAGTTCGCGCGGACCGCGATTCGCGCAACAAGGATTACCGAAATTCACTCCTAACCAAGACATTTTACGATTTCGACGCGTGAATTCAAAGCTCCCGCTCTTGAAAACGCAATGGTCCACCTGAGTCTGATTGCGCACGACATATTACCGTCATAGTCTGTGCGGTGTGAAAAGATGGCAACCATGATTTCGGGGCTTTGGCTCGTTGCACGTTATTTGCCTACATTTTGAACGGCACAGAGGGGGAAAGGAACACTGATAGATTGAGAGGACTGTCAAGACCGTCGTAGAGCGGGATTTGACTCACGTGGGGTGTTGCGTTTCTTGCGACCGGGCAATTCGGATTTCCCGCAACCAATGTCAAATAAAAACGTCAATATCTTAATTAGGAGTTGCTTTCAGCAATGGAGATGTTGCTTGTGAGAGGGATTTGCGATTTGACTATTGTTTCTTATGTAAAAGTTTGCGAGAAACACGATGGTGCCACTGGTTTTCTCTGAAATCATCTCCCAAGCTCAAAAAAAGCTCTCAAAGAGAGGCCAAAATGGAGGGGATATCCCGCCCTACCCTGAGAGTCCACCTCTACATCAAAACAAACTCTCCATGCAAAGATAGGGAGCAAATACATTAGCAGGGCTGTCACTTTATTTGGGGGCTCAAAACTTGAAAACACGGCAACCCTGCTAATATATTTGCTCCCTATATCTTTGCATGGAGAGTTTGTTTTGATGTAGAGGTGGACTCTCAGGATAGCGTGGGATATCCCCTCCATTTTGGCCTCAACTTGAGAGCTTTTTTTGAGCTTGGGAGTTGATTTCAGAGAAAACCAGTGGCACCATCGTGTTTCTCGCGAGCTTTTACATAAGAAACAACAGTCAAATTGCAAATCCCTCACACATGCAACATCTCCATTGTTGATGCAAGAATCGTGTTCTACTTAAAATTTTGGTTGAGCAACATCTATCAGAATGCTGAAATTCGTCGAAATTGTAGGAAAATATCAAGGCCATATATTAATGATAAGGAGCAATTCGGAATCAAGCGCGGCTGATACATTTACTGATGATGGCTGTTCCACACCCAAGTTCGAGCCCTTTTCACTCCTTAAAAACATGAAACATCGGCGGTGAATCGCGGATGATCGATTATCGATATTGTTTAGTGGTCCGTTAAATAGGGGCATTTTGCATCCCTTGAACCATTTTGTCAATATTTTCAGATCGTACATTTTCGCGAAAACATGCTGAAAATATTGACAACACGTACAAGGACTGCAAAATGTCCCTACTCAAATCATCCGAGCTTCGCCACTGATGCCACTGAAAAAAAATTCTCGGCGTTTTTACCAAGGTCCGTTGGTACCTTTACCATCTCACTTTTTTTTTACCAATTATTGATAATTTTACCAAGACAGACTGGTAAGCTTACCTAAAACCGGTATTTTTACTGTTTTTTCAGGTAAAAATACCACTTTTATTGGTAATCAATTCCCGGTAACTTTGCCATTTTATCGCGGTAATTCTACCACAGTCGATAAAAAATGTTGGTGTTTTTACCAAGGTCCAGTAAAATTACCGAGAAAGTTCAATAATTTTACCGAGATTTTCGGTAAAATTACCAATTCCATAAATGGTAATTTTACCAAGAAAAAACTGGGATCAAATAGAACCCTGAATTCTTGGTAATTTTACCCTTTTCTCAGCAAATACACCAATATTTTTTTTTCCGTGACGTTTTATGTCTTTATAAGGAGTAAAAAGGGCTCGAAATTGGATGTGGAACAGCACATTATCAGTAAACTTTTCAGACGCGCTTGATTCTGAATTGCTTCTTATCATTAATTCATGGCCTTGATATTTTCCTACAAATATCATTTATATTATAAACCTATACCTATTTACACTAAATAAGAGTACTTTTTTACTATTATGCTATATTATAAACGAATTAATCCCTTATCATTTTCTAATCTTGTATTGAACTAACATAGTACTCTTATATACTCTAATAGTAAAACGGATTAAATTAAGAAGCTTTCGTTGGATAGACTATAATTAATTTGGCTGACTAGAGAAAAAAATAATGGTATGTTTGCTTGATGAATAATACTTTTTGTAGACTTATATCTTACACATATAAGAAAATTATGGAGTTTTTAAAAGAAAAATATAATACTTAATTGTTCAAGTATTTTTTTCTTTTCGTCAATGCTTACCTGTATTGTCATTCCTCTGTTGAGTATTTTAAAATGTAAATTACAGCAGTATTACAGAAATCATACATTATTCATGGACGGAAATATAGGATTNGGGGGGGGGGGGAGCCTACCTCCCAGAAATTTGTTCGACCTCTCGTAAGAAATGTGACGGATTTTTCTAAGCAAGTGCGAAGAAAGTAAAAAAAGGAGAGAGAGAAGAGAGTAAAGAAAGGAAAAACAAAATTAATTAAAATAGGAAAAGGGAAAAAAAGAGGAGGAAGAAGAGAGAACCGAAATGCAAATACAGTTTCTGTAGAACATTCTCTTCTGTTTATGTTTTGTAGTTGGGAGGCTAAAATCAGGGGTAACACGTCGTTGAACATGGGCAGACTGGTAGTCGAAAAGTTAGGAGGAGTCCTAAATGTAAGGGCCCCTCCTGTCGTTCGGGGGCCCTTCAATGAAGGTCCGGGGGCCCTCCGCCGGTAAATTTGGAAAATTTCACATTTTTTAAACACGTAGGCATTATTGGAGTTGGATTCTACAGTACTTGAACTTCAAAATAACCCATTCTCAGGATACATCGGGGGTCCCTTCATCACAAATGCTTTAGGCGACCTTCCATGTCTCTTAGAGACAAATTTTCAAGGAATTCGTGGCCTTTTAGTGATTGAAAAGGATAAGAAAATTACAACATTACGGGGCAAAACGATGACTCGAAAAAAATTCGCCGCGGGGGCCCCTTCGGGACCTCCGCTGCAAATTGTTAGGGGGCGATCGCCTCCCCGCCCCCATGGCCAGTCCACCCCTGTCGTTGAAGCAAAACCAAAGATTCGAATATCATGATTCAAAGTCTTGAGAGCGCACACTGCCTATACTCTCTCAAAAGAAGGGAAATTGAATGCAAGAAACTGCACCGCAAATTAGGTTGGAGGAATCACCTATCTACGTAGAGAACATCAAACGAAAAGAGGAAAAGTATGGAGAAGAGGGAGCAGAATAGAAAGAGGGAGAGGGAGAAGAAAAAATAAAAAAAAGGGAAGAGGAAAAGGAAATAAGGGGAAGGAACAAAAACACGAGGGAAGAAGAAAAAAAAGGAGAAAGAAGAACGGTCCAAAATGTAACCACAATTTCTGTAGTATATTCTCTTTTGTTTATGTTTTATAGTAGGAATGGTAAAATCACCAATCACACGTTGAAACAAGGCCAGCGATTCTAAAATCACCATTCAAACTCCTGAGAGCGCATATTGCCTACTCTCTCAAATGAAGGGGAATTGAATTCAAGAGACTAAGCCACAAATTAGTTTGTAATATATGTATTTAAGCCTTGATCACTTAAGCCACTTAAACCTGAATCAGAAAGAATGAAAGGTCAAAGGTAGATTCTTAGCCTGAGTGATAAATTTCCATTAAAGACTCTTGGAATCTGAGCCAAAAAATACATATACCCGTATAAAAGCAGATAAAGGAAGAAAAAAGAAGAATAATATTAATATCGATGACTAAAGTGCGAAAACTCCCTAAAAATTTAGTTGACTAGTTTTATGATGAAAAAATAAAGAATGACAAGATGTCTGAAAAATCGCTAACGGACATACATGGCTTCGCACATTAGTCATCGATATGACAAATCTTTGCACACGCATAACTGACCGATTTTCCGCTCAGTTAGTAGTTAATTTTTGTCCTACGTGCGTCACCCACAAGAGATAAATATGACCGTAGAAAATAAAATAAACCGCGACAAGGAAAATACCATGCAAAATCGCACAAAAATAGTTCAGTACGTCGAAAATATCTAGGACCTATTTCTCAACGCATAGTTTGTGCATTTCCAATCACGTATTTTCATATCTCTCGCATCTGCTGGTACCTTTCTTAAGGAGTCTCTAGACAGGGTTTAAATTAAAATACGACACAACATGTTTATGTTCAAAATTTTACGAGAAAAGCAAATCGAACCGCGGGAAGTCTACAAATCTAGTCCTGAATAAGATATTAGTGTTTAGTAGCGCCTAAGTGGATACTTCACGCACTGCACAATGCTTGAAGTATCCACTGTGTACAAAATTCTGAAAAATTTTTTAAGGCTTATTTTTGGGCAACTTTGATCTCATGCCCTGCAGCTAAAAATCAATGTTTTTGGGATCTGCAAAAACGAAAATACTTGTCATACAATGGAGTTTATCAGTCAGATGCATATAATGGTGTGAGGTTCACGAGTGCACTGTGAAATAAGTGACTATGCAACGCGCGCCTCAGGTTGAAGAAATCTGGGTTCATCATATTCCACATGCTGCATATCTATCTACGTGGAAACCGTAGATATAATGAATATTTTTGATATTCCCATGTGATTTCGTTATCAGTAGGTATCTCGGCATCGATTAAGATGCCTCTGATGAGGAAAAAAAAGCGAAAAATTGAGTTTCGCGCCGCTACGGACACGATCTGGCCCATAGTGTGGCAGTAATGTGATTCAGGTTCGATCCTGGCGGCTGGCGAATCACTTAATTTTTAGCAAAGTAGCAGACTTTCAACATAAAAATTTAATGGAGAGTACGGATTTGATTGACATGAATTGATCAAAAAATGAAAACGTGAATCAATCGACACCGATTCGATTGACAACCGTGAATCGACCGATAACTCTGTGAATCGATCGACAAACCCGTGAATCGATAGACACATCCGTGAATCGATCGACAAACTTTTGAATCGATCGAAAATCCCATGAATCGATTGACAACCCCATGAATCGATCGACGACTCCGTGAATCGATCGAATCGTATGTATGCCTTCCGATTTGGCCACCTAAAGCCAAAGATTTGATTGATTTGACGCATGCAAGAAAAACTAACACGAAAAATCAACCAACAGCTTGTGTTACTGTTTTACTTACCATATAACCGGAAGGTTTTGATTACTTTTTCTTACAGTGTACCAATGTTGCTGTTTGTGGTTCGACCAGTTAGGTCATCTGAATCGGAGTGGTCGAACTTAGGAGGAAACTCGATTGCGACGATTTGGACGTTACAGCTCTCTTACGGTG